TGCACTTAAGTTTCTGAGGAACAGATGGACTCAAGCAAGAGATCCAGTATAGACCCAGCACTTCCAGTGCCTGGGGTGCTGACCACTGCTTAGGGATGCCTCCACAGCACAAACCCAGGATCATCTCAAGCAGCACGGTCAGTTGAAATCAAATGTTAGCCACATGTGGGACTTAGGACCTTTTGGGCCAGATCCATGGTACAGTGGTAACGCACGGCTCAGGAGAAGCTGGAGCCCACGGTGACCATGGTTCTTGTCCTCAGCCTGGTCAGCCTGAAACTCCCGGGCAGGCACATGAGTGCCAAGGATTCAACAGGCTGGAGGATGAGAGGATAGTGATCACAATGTGACCAGACTGTGGAGGCTCGTCCTCGCCCTCGTGCACACTTATGTGCTCTTTGTGAATACAGGGAAAAAAATTTTAAAATTTAGTGGCCACCTGGACAAAAAGAAACCAGTGTAAAACACAGAGTTTGAAATTAATTTAACTATGTATTTCATTTAATCTGGTGTATCTTAAAGTATTATTTTAATATATAATAATTATGAAATCTTATTTCACATTATGAAATTTAATATTTTACACCTGCTATATATTAATATTTTGATTCAGATTACACTTACTTCCGGTGCTCACTAGCCAGAGTAGAGGGGCTGTTGAGTACCATATTGGACAGTGGTATTCTGGAAGGATCGCCAGTCTCTGAATTTTTAATGACAGCCATATTAAGTGTATAATAATTCTTGGAATTCATACTGATACTCAGCACATTTATAATAAGGTGTCTTGCATGCTATGCCTGACTTGGAGAATACACAAATAGACCCAGAGAGTGGGAGGGATTTGTCTAGAAGTTAAAGAAAAACTTAGAGACAGAATTGGGACCCAAGTTTCCTGACACAGATTTATTATCCTTTCATTTCCTTTACTTTCTTAGGACTTGGCCTTGTGTTGATGGTGGTAGGAATTTAAAACTTTTAAGTTTTTAGGAGACCTCTCCTGGATTTTTATGGTATGGTTTTTATTGATTCCAGAGAGGGTGAAATTAAAGGTAGTTTCTTAGTTTCTTTTTCCATATCTTTCTGCTTTTTTCAAGTATTGTGTACTGAGTATACAGTATGTTTAAAATTAGAAAGAAGCACAGGCCAGCCCCATAGCCTAGTAGTTAAGGGAACTGGATTTCACATGGCCAACCACAGTTCAAATCCCAGCCCCTACAGCTTGAAAAACATACCAGGTGCATATGTGTGTGTACACGTGTACACGTGTGTATGCCCGAGGTCCTAATAGGATGGAGAAATGGAGGAGAAGGGATTGTGGTGTGACCACACCCAATTGGAGAATGCCTTGTTTTCTTCTTGTGAGCACACGTACCCACTGACAGTTGAAAAAGTAAATAATTCACTAGAATTATTTTTAAAATGAATGCAGGTAAAGAAAAAAAAGTATCCATCTATTACTTATAAGTAAAAATAAATACATTCATTCTAGAAAATAAAATCAAAGAAAAATGTTTATTCACCTATAACTTTATTTATAATACAAAAAAAAAAAGCTGAAGTGTTAGGTAATGATGTAAGTTAATTCAGACTTCCTAATATAGATGGTAGATGTTTTCATTCTAAATATTCGGTGGTCAGAAAAGCCAGCAAGTATTTTTCTATGCAAAAATGCATCATGACTTTTCTGACAACCCATTACTACTCTCTTTTCTCTGCTCCCCATCTCAGTGAATGGAAGCCCCCTTGCACTGAAAGCACAAACCAACAACCCAGGATTTGGCTTTAATTTTGCCTAATTTGTCACCTTTACAACATCAAAACCTCTTGATCCAGTATCATAATACCTCTCGAACCTGTCCACCTCTCTTTATCTCTGTGAACTACTTTAATCTTCACCTCCAAGCGAGGTTTTGTAACTGCCCACTAATTGGTGTCCTGCCTCCAGAAGCTATCACACTGGAGGGAAGTGCTTTTGCTACAAACAAACTTAATTGTTCTCTTTCTTGAAGCAATGCTTGCTAGGCCTTGTACAAATGTTAAGGCAGTGATGTGTAAAATACAGTGCCTCCTCTGGATGGCTTGCTTTCTTAAACCTCTTTAATACTTGCCATGACCTTTAAGTTCATACATTTAAACCACAGCTTTGCGATCTGGCCCCCATCTCCCCTGTCCACCACTCCACACTCTTCTTCAGACACACAACGCTCCACTCCAGAAACTGATCTTCTACCAGTCATCATTTTTCTAGTTATGGTTTTAAAATAAGAATTTTATACCCAGATTTGAAGTCCATGCCTTATTCATCTATAGTCAGTTTAATGTAGCCCTTTAAATAAACAAACAGCCAATATCTGGAGTCCAGACTTTTCTTCTGAGCTGCTGATGTGTACTTCTCATCTGACTGACATTTCTACTTGGCTACTGTAGGTACCTCAAACCCAAAATGTCAAGGATTGTTCTTCCAGTTTCCTCGGTTTTCATAGTTGCAGGAAACTGCTGCCGTCTACTGATCTGCTGAGGCAAGAAACCTGGATTCGTCCTTTGCAGGTTCTTCTCGACTCTATCAAATTGAGATCACGGATTCCTGTTCATCCTAACTTTGTTCAAACTAGTTCACTGTTTTTATTCCCAGTTGTGCTACCTTCTTCTCAGCAGCAACTTCCTTGGCCTGGACTCCTGCAGTAACCCCTTAGCTTAGCGAGTCCTCCCACATCTACTCTTTTCCCTTTCAAACACTGTGCACACATGCCTGATCTGACTCTGTCAACTGTATTTTATTTTCTGTATTTTTGTTTATTTGTTTTTTTACCTTTTTCTGTATTGATGAGAGGATTTTTGTGCACACGTGTCAGAAAGAGATGGGCACCCTCCACAGAGCCTGGTCACACTGTGCTGCATTCCCTTCCCCTGTCCACCAGGCAGACAGGTCCCAGGTAACCGCCAGCCTGCCTGGCATACCTGAGAACAGCTAGACCAGAGATTCAAACGTTGGTGGCCAGGTGGGATCTGGCTTCCCTTGAGCATCACGTTACTGCTGCTCCTTGGAGCCAGCCCTGTTGGGTGTTCTTCATGCTGGCACCTGGGACCTTGCTGAATTAGGAGAGACTACCCTTCCGCCGTGGCTAGCCCGAAAGATAGCAAACAGCCTACCTGGACTGTGCTTTTCCTATGCAGACTACCTATTGAGAGCCCATGCTTCAAGCCATTCCAAAAGGCAATTTCCCTCTGCCCTACTTGCCAGAGGCAGGGACTGGACAGTAGAGACAGCCCCACACTGCAGAGTGTGCTAAGTTGTTCGCACCAGCCGATCCCAGACCTACTAACACTCCCACACCTTGCCTCTCCCATGGTCACCACAGTAAAGGTTCTTGTCCATGCTGTCCCTTGCATCTGCCTTCTGGCTGACCTGGGTGCTTCCTGTGAGCCCTGTATGGCATGGCATGGTGTGCCCCATCCTTCTGGGAACTGTGAGTAACAAACTGTCTTTCCAGTGGCAATTGTCTCTTCATCACTTGGCCACACTATACTCAAACAATAATAAAAGTTACGTATTAAAGCATTCTACCAGAGCCAGCAGGTGGCATGATGGTTAAGATGCTGGACTTGCATGTGACTGACCACAGTGCAGGTTCTAGAGCTGGTGGCTTGCTTTCTCACTTTCTCTCTGGTGAGGGCAGATGCCCTATAGAAAATTTAAAAAATAATAATAATAAATAATTCTAAAACAAACATCCTACCTCCACGCCGCTTAAATCTTTTCAATGCTTAAACCTTACCATTGCTTTTATGATAAAATGAAGAATCTTGGACACGTTACTTAAACTGTCCAGACCTCAGGGTGCTCACTTGGAGTGGAGATAATATAGCACTTGGCTTAGAATTACCAATATGAAGTGAGATAATGACTCTAAAGCACTTAGCCATACAAACCTTGCACAAGTGCTGTCTTCACCATTCTAGTAACTTGCCAGAACATATCTTCTACTTCGCATAAGCTCCTCTCCTGTTTCCTAGAATGTCTTTGTCCTCCACCCCATTTCATTTCCTGCCATCAGTTGGAGGCATGATGTCATAGTTTATGATACCGAATGATGTCAGTAACACAGATGCAAAGGCTGCCCTCCAGGAATAGTGAGTCAGGCGTCCTGCTTCGGTGTGTGCCTTTGGACAGCTAGATAGATAACCTTGTTTTCTCAGAAACATCGAACTCCATACACTCAGTAAATTAGTTGGAAAATATATAAAATAATTAATAAGAAAAATAGGAGATAACGGTCTTAATCATGCTGATGTCTTATTTTGATTTGTAGAGTAATCACAGGTCTATAATATCCAAGCATATCGCCTGTCTCTATTTCTTCTAGCTACTGGATGAACTCCCAATGATTTACAGCTGTTGTGTATTTGTGTACTGCATGTAAGTACTTACATTTAAAATTCAGTTGTTTGATATATTTTCAAATTCACATGTCCCTCATAGTGAATTAATATGACTAACCCAGTTACATTACAGGAGGTTGTAATAATGCAGATAATAAATTTTATGACATCAAGGTAGAGTATAATTTCAGGGAAGTTGTAATAATGTTGTGTATTAGCTCTTATGATTTCAAAACTCGGTTGCCAATTTAGATAGTCTTAATCTTACTTAAATTGCATAATTCGTTTTTCCTTGAGTGAATAATGTGTGTCAATTTAGATAAAGATTTTTATATACATATTATACTGTGAAAGTTTTTAGTTGAAATTTCTCTGTGCTGGTGTATTAACCGATAACAGAAGCCAATCTAAAAAGTGAACAGGTCTTCCAGTTATACAGAGACTGTGTCATTTGCATTGTCTCTTTGATTTGAAGTTATCTGTTAAATAGATAGTTGTTTCCTTTAAAATTTCCCTATTCTAAATCCTGAATGTGCTTAATTGGCTATTCACAACCATAGAAGAGAACAATGCAACAGGTTACAAACCATTATCAGTGCAAAGTTCCCTTCCTCAGTCAAATTCTATTTACTTTAATTGCAAGTTAATTTGCATTTCCTGGATGTCATAGAATTTTTAAAAATCGATCTCGAAAGATAAAAGTAATTATGATAGAAACATTAATAAGCATTAATTTTATTGACTTATTCTCATAACACACAGTGTACTACACCACCTTTAGTTTTTAACAGTTGTGTGAGATAAATGGATTTTGTCCCCACTTTATGGGCCAGAAAATATAGCAGAGGGATTTAGTAATTTGTCTAAGGACATAAAACAGAGCTTAAGTGGCACGCCAGCCAGGCCATCATCTGCGTGAACAATCTGTAAGGGATACTAAAATATCCTGGAAATATATCATGATGGAAGAAGTGACAATGGTCAGGATTTTCCTCAAGGAGAGGTTGAAAGAGTGGTTTGATAGGCTGCCTGGAAAGGCATGGAAGTGCAAAAGTGGGACCCTTCCTGTAGTGCATGATCAAATAGCAACAGAAGGGCACAGTGTGCCTTCTAAGGAAGACGTGAGGTTAATGATAGAGCTTCTGTTTTGCAGCATTAGGGTTTGCAGGTCTGGGCTCCAGCTAAAGTGCTGGCAGTGTAGAAAAGAGCCTCCTTTGCCCATCACCCTGTAGCACTCAGCCTCTAAATGAGGGACAGATATGTAAAGAGTATGCACTTAGAGGGACAGCACGTTCCCAGCTCATGTCAGGACCTACATGCTTGTGCTGGGTAACAAGGTAACAAGTGGCACCGCCACAGTTTGAACCAGTTCATGTCTGTCTTCTGTAGTACATCATGACGCCTCTCCTACAAGTTAATAGTGTACACTGAAGTTACTGGACGGTTTCTTTTTTTCCGAATTTTAGTGAGCTGTAACAAACCATTTCACTTGTCTTAGTTCATTTTGTGTTGCTATAACGTTATTCCTAAGACTGGGTAGTTTATGAAGAAGAGAAGTTGATGTAGCTCACAATTCTGCAGGCTGGGAAGCTCCAGATTGTCCTGCTGCATCTGGTGACTTCTGATGAAGGCCTCGTGCTGCATCAAAATATGGCAGAGAGAGATCAGCAGATGGCATAATGGTTACGCTGCTGGACTCCCACACAGTTGACCATGATTTGAGTCCCGGATCTGGTGGCTTAAAACTCAGCCGAGTGCATATGTGTACGTGCCCAAAATCCTAAGAGGAGAATGGAAGAGAAGGGACTGTGTGGCATGGCCATCCTCCCTGGGGGTAATTTCTTGCTTTCTATCTCTCTGGCAAGCACACGTGCCCCGAGGGGGAGCCAGATGGGTGCAAAATGGAACCCACAGGAACCCACACTCACTTTTATAAACAGCTCACTGTTGTGAGAACAACTAAGCAGTCTTCAGAGAGCCAGAACTCACTACTGCGAGAATGGCACTAACTCACCAATGTGTGCAGAGCCAGGATCCCAGTGCCTGCCAGTGGACCTCTGTCTTCAGGGTTCACCTCCCAGCACTGCTGGAACTGAGCGTCAATATGAATTTTAGTGGAAATAAACCAATTACTAAATTCAAACCATAACACTACTGTTGTCTTTTTTTTTTTTAATCTTTATTTTTTTCAATCACCAGAAACCATGTACACTCACCAGAGAGAGACAGAGAGGGAATGGGAGAAAGTAACCACCCCGCCCCGATGGGGCATGGTCACAGCACAGTCCCTTCTCAGGACTAGATATCTGACTTAAGCTGGGACAATAAGAGGCTCTCCTGGAAATCGGGAGTTTTGGAGCCAGAGGCAGGTCAAGTAAGTGTAGAATAAGAGCAGAAAATCATACACACTTACCGTCTGAGGCTGGTATTTGGGGCAGTCAAACCAAATGAACAAGTAGATGAATGAGCAAAGAATACGCTGCAGGAGGAGACTAAAGCAGAGCTCCCAATCCCTCTAGCCTCTTGGAGGCTGGAAGCAGTGTCGTTATTCGAAGATAAGACGTGGATGGGAAGAAACGTGTTGATCACTTGGTCACAGAGGCATATCAACAAGTGACAGCACCAGTCTGTGTAGTTATATATTCTTTACAAAGTCTAATTTTTCTCTCTTCTTTTTAAGGTTTGAATGTTTCAAGAACAAGAATTCAGTAAACTACCATCTGCTTTTTACTTTAGTTCTATTCAGTTTAATAGTTACCACAGTAAGTCTTACTTCATGCTGTTCAGACTGAAATGTTTCTGTACAAAGTTAGATGGTCTCACTTATAAATAGTACTCTTTTCTTCTCTGTTATTCTTACTGTGATTGAAATAACTTTTTTAAAGTCTGCATGTTTTTTCAAAATGAGAAAGAGCCAGAAAGCAAATGTTTACTAGCCATGGGGAAAATACTAACATTGCCATGAATGAACACATTATCTCCTCTTCATTAAAAACTAGAGACTGGCCCTGTTCCATCGAGTATAGCATGACTGTTTATGGTTAACCGCCTCCTAACAAGCTGGGATGGCGAGTCACTTCTGACCCCACCCTCATGTACCCTGCAGAGACCCAGCAGGCTGGCTGGGCTAAAAGTGTAGATTCGGGGTTTAGGTTTGGGAGTCGGCAGGGTATAGGTCATACCAGAGCGGTTAGATTAGATGAACTGGCACAGAAGTAGCATCGACCGTTGGTGACTATGAAGATACAACCCTGTGGAATGCCTATCTTTGAGGGCCAAGTGGAAGAAATGGAGCCAGCAAAGGAGACTGAGAACAAATGATCAGAGATGCAGAAAAGCTGGGGGAACCTGATGTCACAGAGGACAAAGATTCTAGAAGGGAAAAATATATAATACAGTATTACTTGCCTCTCAAAGGCTGAGTACAGCAAAGACCGAGAGCTGAGTGATAGGAGTTCCTGGTTAGGAGACCCCAAGGAACCTTAGTGAGGGTGCTGCTGGCGGTACGCCGACGGAGGCCGAAGCCAGCGTCAATCACTTCGAGATGTTGGGGTAAAAAGAGCAAAAATACGCTCTCTTCTCAAGTTTCTGCATTCCTCTGCCTAAACATGAATCCCAGAATTTCGGAGGTGAAACAAAGCCTTGTCGCTGTGTAAGAGAAGAGAGTAAAGTCTAGAGAGTGTCAGTGATTTGCCTAGCCCACTGTTTACCCGGAGGATTCTTGACAAGGTCAAGACAAGATCCCTTTTTTTTTTGGAGAGGTTTTTTGTTGTAGGGCACGTGCGCTCGCCAGACAGAGAGAGACATAGAGACAGAAAGCGAGAAATCATCCCCCAGGGGGAATGGTCACGCCGCAATCCCTTCTCCTCCATTCTCCTCTCGGGATCTTGGGCACGTACACACATGCGCCCGGCGTGAGTTTTAAGCCACCGGGTCCGGGACGTGAACTGCAGCCTACTACATGGGAGTCCAGCGACATAGCCATTACACTAACTGCTGGTTCCCCAAGATCCCTTTTTTAAGGTAAGAAAAAAATGTAGTTAGAAAGTAACTTTGGAGTCAGATCTGAGTTTGGATCCGACACTGTTAACTTAGTGTGTGACCCTGGGTCTCAGCTCTAGTTCTCCTTTCCTGTTAAATGAAGATAATGTAATTGAATAGAATTACCATTAAGACCCAGCAGGTCCTCTCGTGGGTATCTACCTGATCGAAGGTTAGGAAAACACTGTTGAAAAACCCTTGCACATCCATGTTTATTGCAGCATTAGTCACACTTGCTAAGACATGGAATTAACCCACATGTCCACTAACACATGAATGGATTGAGGAAATGTGGCACGTACACACTACAGAGTATTACTCAGCCATAAAAGACAATGGGACTCTGACATTTGATAGAAAGTGGATGAATATGGAAGATTTAATGCTAAGTGAGGCAAACCAGGCCATGAAAGTGAGGCCTTGTATGTCAGACCAAACGTCTGCACTCTATGGCAGAAACTGAAAGACTGGAAGTTCTAAAAGCGGGAGGGAGGAAAGCAACTATAGATACTATATAGATGCCAGAAACAGTATGGGGGAGCAGGAGGAGGGAAGGGGAGAAGAGGAATTGGGAAGAACGAACATTTAACAGACATGAAAATGAAAAGGTGCCTGTTGATAATGTGTATGGTGATGTCTTGGACTAGACTAACATGCACTGTATTCATGGTGGGAAGAATCATGTACGCTGTATGGATGTACAGTGATTAACTGTAAATTTACAAGAAAAAGGGAAGTACAGAACAGAAAAAGAAAATAAACAGCTATTGTTGACCAAAAAGAATGAAGATAATAATCGTATACATTTCATATTTTGTGAAAATTAATTCCTGACGAATAGGACCCCAAGACCCCTTTTGCATTTCTTTATTAGTAACAATGAGAATCTGATAGCTTACTTATAAAGAGGAATGAGTATTTTGAAATAAGCAATGTCAAAGATTAAAAGCGCTCTGTTACTGGGATTAGCATTACAGATATATAATATATATAATACATAGCATGCTTTAAAAATTCTATGGGTCTTTAAAGGAAGAAAAACTAGTCTCTTATAGTGAGGGTAGAAACTTCCTTCAGAAATAAGAAATTTTGTAGTCGAGTTATAAAATTCTGTAAATCTTAGGAGGTCATTACATTATATGAATATATAGGGGTCTTTGAGCCCAGTTCATGCTATCAAAGAGATCATTGCCTTGTAGGCTAGCGAAACAAACTAGTAAATGCCGTCAAATGTACACATGGACAGTGTTGACAGAAAAAGAAGGGGGATGGTGGCGCTTGCTCTGTAGAGCGGATCAGAAAAGGCTTCGAGAAGGAGGCATATTTTGAAACGAATCTTGAAAGATGAGTATTTGCCAATGGGGGTAGATTTCTGAACAAAGTACTGAGCCATATGTGTAAAGATCTAGAAGTGTGAAACTAGCACGTCTGCAGAAACACAGTATTTCCTGGAGCCTAAAATGACAGGGGGACGAGAAGGCAGCAGAAAGGCAGGAGTCACAGAAGGCTTTGGAAGTCAGACTAAGAAATCTGAACTTTGTCTTGTAAGTGATGGGACTCATTGTGGAGTTATGATCTGAATTTCCATCCCTTGTACCATGTCATTTAAAAATGTGCTCCTATAGGGAAACACATGCATGTTAAATATTAAGCGGGCGTTGAACTTAGTCACCTACATGACATTGGAGTCTAAAACCAGGGTTTGTGTAATTAGGAATGCATCTAGGTGAGTGAGTTAGAAATGTTTGGAAGTAGAAGGGAGCACAAGAAATTTGTTTTAAATGTCTTCACACATTGAATACCTACTGTGTGCTAGATACTAGCACATATTTTAGCTTTTTATTCCTCATCACCATTCTTCATTATCCAGATAAGAAAAAAAGAGTCTTTGGTTAACTGACTTGCTCAAGGTGTATCACAAGGAAGTGGCAGAGTTTGACATTTAACTCCTTTCTCGAAGGCCAGTTTTGTTTTGTTTTGTTTTGTTTTGTTTTGTTTTGTTTTGTTTTGTTTTACTGTGGACCAGGTCAGTTTTAGGGATTGTCATCAGAACCTCTTCACAACTCATGAGTATCCATGTGTCCTTGTCTCGCCTTTCTGCTACTGCGGGGACCAGGAGGCCAGCATAGTCCACAGCAGATTGGAGGCATTTTGTTTATCGTGGCAGGGAGGGCTGCCCAACCTGGAGGTGCTAGCTGTTCTGTGGAATACCACCTGATCTGATTGGTTTTACGTAGCTCAAGTCAGGTATAAGTAGGCTGAGGGAAACAGGAGTTGGGGATTTGCAGAGAAGGTGGAATAGGCTTTTCCCCCTTCATAATACACTTCATTCACATGATTTTTTCTAACATTTTGCAGGTTTACCTTAAGGTGAAAGAACCTATATTCCATCAGGTAATTTATTTTAACTTATCACATGTTTTATTGTTTAACAGAACATACCTGCTTTGTGTTTTTTTTTCTTTTTTTAGAATATACACAGACATAAATTTTGAAAATGAAATGGTACATGTCCTAAGAAAGCTCAGTGTTTAAAACAGGTTGCAACTCAAGTACCTGCAGCAGCCAGGCATAAGTAACAGGGATATACCAGAACAGCCCCCAGTCCAGCTGGATTCGCAGAGGTGCTGGCCCAGGGGGAGCCAGCCTGACGCAGGTGCTTCAGTCCCAACTGGTCACTGGCCAGATTGCTAAGGAATTCAATGTCACAAGCCCAGGTTCAAGTGTTCCACTTGCTAGCAGAACCAAAAGCCAAGGCACCAGAGTTTAGGTGTAGAAAGGCCTTTATTTAAAGCCATAGTCCTAGTTTCAAAGATGGGAGACAAAGAAGATTCTCAAATCCATTTTGCCAAAGGCTGGGGCAGATTATTATTTATTAGGGTTTGTTGTTAGTTTTGGCAAGCAGGATGCAGGGTAGGGACTTCTGAAAGGAGATATTGAGTTGGACTTCGGAATAAGTAGCGAGATGAAACTAGACAAAAAGGGTTAATAAACGCCTTAAAAGTATCTACTAAAATCTAGACTATTGTCTTGCTAACCAGATTAACTTCTCTGAGGGGGAAAATACTGATAACTTCACTGTATTAAATTTAAGTGATCCAAACATCTCCAAATGCCATTTATTCAGTTTACTGGCCTAGCAAAGAGTAAGACCCGCATCACATAGCCATCACATTCAACAGAAACACCAGTATATCTTAAGCAGGAAAACAAAAAGGAAAGCACATGTAAGAGTAGGTAAAAAAGAATGTTCAAGAACTTAGTGGATTCTCTTTAAACAGCTAGTGCAAATGAATAATTGAATAGCTCAGATCATATCTGATGTTTTAAAGAATCTCACTGCTTAAAACGCCCCTTCCAAAGTAGATGTCTCCCAAAGATTGTTTCTAGACATGACACATCAGTGTGTTTTGTCTCTCCCTCAATTGACCCTCAAAGTTTGCAAGAAAGGACACAGTATGAACAATCTAAAAAACAAAAATTTAAGCAGACTTGCTTAAATTTTATCATATTTCATTTGTGCTGTTTCATTGCAAACAGGAATGTAAAGAAACTTCCATGGAAGCACATTTGGAAGGGTAAAAGAGGAAGCTAGTATTTTTGAGTATCTTCCATGTGCTAGATATTATTTATTTGTATAGTGTATCTATTCACATAGCTTATGTAGGTTGACTCACCTGTTATAAAAATGTCAACAACTAATTACCTTTAACTTAGCATTTTTCATCAAATTATGTTGGAAGCACGACCTTTTCACCCCATCATAGGAGAATAACCTGTATTGACAGAGGAGAATAAAATGCCGTTTTCTTACATTTGTTAAAGTTTATTTATTTCCTTCATGAGAGAAAGAGTAGACAAGCACGACGAGGTCTCATGTCATGACCCGGCCACCAGCCCCTCCAGCCAGGATCGTGGCTGCTGACATCAGGGCAGTGGTCGCTGAAGGGTGGGGTGGCGGAGGCAGTTTCTTAACGTAAGACAGCAGTGAAGTTGGCCACATCAGTTGACTCCCCCTTTCACAGAGAGTTTCTTAGTGGCATGTGACCTTTGACAGCATTTTACCCCCAATAGCACTTCTTTCGAAATGGAGACCAGTCCTCTCAAACCCAACTGCTGCTTTATCGACTAAGTTTATGCACTGGGTTTTCAGAAAAGTCTGACGTGGTTTTTGTGTGCGTGTTTCTCTTTGCAGGAACGCGGTCATGACTTTCCCAACAACCCAGTAATACTCTGATTCTTGTCATTTTCACCTGGAGTAGACTCCATTCCAGGAAATCACTTGCTTTCCTCACCCATGCTGTAATTCCTGTCAACGTTTTGCCATGAGATTGCAGCAATGTAGTCACTTCTTCAGACTCCACGTCTACGTCTAGGCCTCTTGCCATTTTCATCACATCTGTAGTCCCTTTCTACATTGAAGTCTTTTTTTCTTTTTTTCCCATAATTTAATGTGGAGAGGGCCTCAGCATGTGGCCGTACTCCCAGAGCCTCAGCCTCCCAAGTCACTGAGACCACAGATGCGTGTCAGCACCCTGGCTCTTTCAGACAGGGTCGTGCCGTGTGGCCATGCCGGCCCTGAGCTCATGGTCCCCCTGCCTCAGAGGCCTCTGATGTTTCTAGAGCTGCAGGCATGGGCCACACCCAGCTTTTGCAGTGGGCCAGGGCTCAGGGTCCTCCCACCTGGCCACGGCCTCCGACGTAACGCATCCACCAGCGTGCGCCACCACCTCTGGCCCCACACCACACATTTTTAAAGTTCTGTTCTTTAAAATGTCATAAAAGATCATAAACGTTTCTGGTTTATTGGGCGGGCTGTGTTGGTGGGCAAAGAACACTCCCTTTGGCCAATGATGGTTGTACTGACTTCATGTTCTGTCCTATCCAGGTCATGTACGGGATGTTGGTCTTCACATTAGTGCTTCGGTCTATTTATATTGTGACGTGGTAAGTCGTTCGGATCGTCCACGCTATGGCTGCAGCATAGTCAGGCTTGCAGCAGTAAACCCAAACCCTAAACTGAACTAGCAGATGAACCCTCATCTGGCCGAGATGTTGGTAACGTCTACCACCCAACATTTGTTATGGTAGGTTGTAAGGATACTTGTGTTTTAGGCAAGTTATTAATAAGCGCCATGTGAAAACAAAGTTCCAAATGAAAGAAATTTGAAGGAAGTGGCCACCTTTTGAATATTTCTAATGTGTCCTCCTCTTGAATTTTCGTAATGTTCCTTAGTGGATTAAAGACAATTAACAATGGGACCAGCAGTTAGCGTAATAGCTATATCGCTGGCCACCCGTGTAATCAACTGCGGTTCGAGTCCCAGACCCAGTGGCTTAAACTCATGCCGGGCGCGTGTGCGTGCGTGCCCAAGATCCCGAGAGGAGAATGAAGGAGAAGGGATTGCGGCGTGACCATCCCCCCTGGGGGGTGATTTCTCACTTTCTGTCTCTCTGCCTTTCTCTTTCTGGCGAGCACACACGCCCTATAGCAAAAACCTCTCAAAAAAAAACCACCCCCATAAAAAAAACCCCTCAAAAAAAAAAAAAAAAAAGACAATAAACAAAAATTTGGATTTTTACCTTTTCCAACCTACTTGACCAGAGAACCCTTTTCATATAATAACTTTCAACAAAATCTGTTGATCCTTCAAAGAGTTATTAATCCATAAAAGATTATTTGAAAAATGGGATAATCTTTAAGAATTCATGAAATTCAAATAATAAATAACATTCACAAGTATCTTAAGCAGGACATAGCCAAACAGCAGGTGCTCAATAAGTAGTGTGATGTGTGGGTTTGCTCTTTTTAAATTACACTTTGAATTTGGAAATAATTGTAGAAATACATGCATTTGCAAGAAGTAATAGCTCTCTCCTGTACCCCTGCCTGGTTTTCCTCCAATAGACACCTCTTACAACTATTGCACAATACCACAACTAGAACTGGTCATTGGTAAAGACAAGAGATAGGTACTTCCATCGCCCCAAGGATCGCGTTATTGCCCTTTTATAGATATGCCTACTTCCTTCCCACAACCCCATCCTGCTATGCCTGTCCTTAACCCCTGGCAAATCACAAATGTGTCCCCCGTTTCTATGACCTTGTCGTTTCAAGAATGTTATACAAATGGAATCAGGTAGCACATAACCTTTGAGATTGGCATGTAGAACTCAGCACAGTTCTGTAGAGATTAATCCAGACCATCAGTGTATCAGCAGCCCATCCCATTCACCGCTGAGTGGTGTTCCGTGCTCTTGAAGCACCACGGCATAGTCGTTCCCATGTTGAAAAACACCTGAGCTATGTCCAGTGTTCGGCTATCATGACTAAAACTGCTGTAAACATTTATGTATAGGTTTTTTTATGAATATACATGTTCTTTTCTCTGGAATAAATAGATACTCACTGTGGAATTATCAGGTGGTATTGCAGTTATATGCTTAGTTTTTCTCAAGACTGATGAACTGTTTTCTAGAGTGGTTCTACCATGTTACGTTCCCTCCAACGATGTATGAATGACCTAGTTTCTCTACATCCTCACCAGCATTTGGTGTTGTCACTATGTTTTTGATAGGCGTGTATTAATATTTCATTCTTTTAATTTGCATTTCCATAATGCCTAATAACATTGAACATACCGTCATGTGCTTTTTTGCATTTATATATCCTCTTCAGTGAAAAATCTGTACAAGTCTTTGCCACTTTCTCTTGTTCACACAGGAGATAAAGATAATTTCTCTGATATTTACAGTTTTGAAATTCTTTGTCAGATGTGTGATTTGAAAAAAAAAATTTTCTTGAGAGATTGTTGCTATAGGGCACATGTGCTCATCACAGAGACAGAGAGAGAAAGACAGAAGGTGAGAAATCACTCCCTAGAGGGGATGATCATGCCACAATCTCTTCTCCTGCGTTCTCCTTTCGAGATTTTTTGCATGCACACACATGTGCCTGGCATGAGTTTCAAGCCACCAGGTCTGAGACTTGAACCACAGTTGGCCACATGGTAGTCTAGCGCCTTAACACTATACTACCTGTGACCCAGTTTGAAATATTTTATCCTAATATGTGCCTATCTTTTTATCTTCTTTACAGGGTCATTCAGTAAGCAAGCATTTTTAATTTCTACAAAGTCAAATATTATCAATATTCCTTTAATTTTTATCATGATTTCTAGTTTTCATATGATCATTATACATTTTCGTGGGGTATAGTACAGGTTTTCCTTTTTTTCTTCTAGGTTTTTGCCATAGGGTGAGTGTGCTTGCCAGAAAGACAGAGAGAAAAACAATGAGAGGAAAAGTGAGAAATCACCCCCAGAGGGGATGGTAATGCCACAGTCCCCTCTTCACTTCTCTCCTGAGATCTTGGGCCTGCAAGCGCACATGCCCAGCGTGATTTTCAAGCCACCAGGTCCAGGGCTTGAACTGCAGTCAATTACGGGGGAGTACAACACCTTAAGCACACCACGTGTTGGCCCCCAGTACTGTTTTTCAAAGCATTCACAGAGCGTAATAATCCAATCAAGTATAGAGGCACATTTGTCTTACTCATTACAATATACTGACGTAATAATGCCCTATGTGATTGATATGATAATAGCTCTCCTAAGTTCTTTGGGAAGTATGTATTGAACTGCCAGTGACATTTTTTGCCCTGTTGTATACACTGTTCTGTAATCTATCCACTTGTTTATATGCATTCTTGTGTCTGCTAATCATCAATTAAACTTCTGGTGTCAAATCTGAGAACTCTAGACCTAACCATACATTCCAAAGATTTTGGAATTTTTTTCCTAAAAGATTTATAGTTTTACATTTTATATTTAAATCTGAAGTTTACTTTGAGTTAATTTTGTACAAGATGTGAGGCTTAAGGTGAGGCTCTGTTTTTTGCTCTTTAGATCCATGGGTGACTTGGTTGAAAAGAGTATCCTGTCTCAGTTGAATTGCCTTTGTGCCTTTGTCAAAAATCGTTTGAGTGTGTTTGTGTGGCTCTATTTCTAGGAGTCTCTATTCCGTGTTCATTGCTGTTCTGTGAGGGGACTTCAAAAAATTATGAAAAAATGGAATTAGCATGAGTTTCTGGTGCAAACTATTTTGAAATCTGTATGGTTTTGAATAATATACATTGTCCATGATTTTTTTGAAGACCTCTTTTGTAGAAACATAGTTTATTTTCTTTACCTGATATCTGGCCATTTTGCTGAAATGAGTATGCTAAGGTTTGGTGAGTATGTGTGGTTTGGTTTGTGGTAAATTTTGTGAGCTCTGTTATAAATAGGGGCAGTTTATCTCCTTTTCTGATACCTATGCTTCTTATCTCCTTTTTTGCCTTGTTGCGCTGGCTAGAACTTCCAGGACTGTGTTGAATAAGAATGGTAAGAGCAGATGTCTTTGCCTTGTTCCCAATTTTAGGGGAAAAGCTTTCACTTTTCACCGCTAAGTATTATATTAGCCGTGTGTTTTTTTATAGATGTTCTTTATCAGGTTGAGGAAGTTGCCCTCTGTACAAGGGATCTTCAGAAAGCTCATGGAATTTACAGATTTAAAAAAAAAAAAAAACCTGCAGATTTCAAAATTTGTTTGCACCAATTCTATCTCTCCATGAACTGTGAAGTCCCTCATATTCGTTTGCCAGTGCTGCAAATACCATGGCTGGGTGGCTTAGATAACAGTTCTTCTCACAGTACTGGAGGTCAGAAGTCCAAGACCAAGGCGTCAGCAGGTTCAATTCGCTCTGACGCCCGTCTCGTTGGCTTGCAGATGGCCACCTTCTCTCTGTATTCTCATGTGGTTTTTCTCTTTGCATGTGTCTGCTTCTCTCTGGGACCGTGTGTGTTCTCATATCTTTTCCTAATGAAGTCACGGTCATACTGGATTAGGGCCCAACCTCAGACCCCGCTTTATCTTGGATGCCTCTTTGAAGAACCTATCCCTAAAGAGAGGTGCATTCCACGGTACGAGTTTGGGCTTCAGCATATGAATTTCAGGGGGGACACTATATGCCTTCTATTCCTCATTTTCCTTCTCATGGTGGGTTGTTGCATGTTATCAGGTGCTTTTTCCATATCAATTTATCCTACCATGTGGTTTCATTCTGTAGTCTATTAATAATGTTGATTACATTGATTGATTTTCAAGTACTTAACTAGCCTTGCATCCTGGGATAAACCTTACTTAGTCATGGGTATAATTTTTTTTTATATATTGCAGTTACTTTGTTAGCATTTTGTTAAGAATTTTTGTGCCTATATTTATGAATAATAATTAATTTATGAATATAATAATAAATAATTTATGAATAATAATTAATTTGTAGTTTTATTTGTATATGCATGTGCAGTAGCCTTTTCTAGTTTTGGTATCAGAGGATTACTAATTTAATTAGATGAATTAGGAAGTGTTTCTTCTCTGCTCTTTTCCAGAAGAAGGAATTAATAATAATTCTTCTTTAAATGTTTGGTAGGATTCTCCAGTGAAACCTTCTAGACCTATAGATTTGTTTTCTCAGCATTTTGAAATTATTTATTTAACTTATTCAAATGATCAATTCATATTGGATGAATTGTACTAGTTTTTATTTTTCAAAACATTGGTCCATTTCATCCAAGTTGTCAAAATTTGTGTGTGTGTGAATTCTCTTGTTTTCCTTCTGATGTCCACAGAGTTTATAGTGAATCCTGACTCATTGCCAATATTGGTGATGTGTGAGTCTTCTCTCTCTGAAGAGGCTAGATTCGAATGACCTCAGCATAGACAGAAGACAGAGCTTTTGGCATGTTTAGGATGGGCAGCTGGAGGGACCAGCAGTTAGCGTAATGGCTATGTCGCTGGACTCCCACGTAGTCGACCGCGGTTCGAGTCCTGGACCCAGTGGCTTAAACTCATGCCTAGCGCGTGTGCGTGCGTGCCCAAGATCCCGAGAGGAGAATGAAGGAGAA